CAATTGAGTTTTTTTATTTAATAACTACTACAATATATTTTTATTTTTTTTTATTGTGTACCACTGAACTGCAGGCTAGGGCCATTTTCCATTTTTTTTGACAGTTCTCTAAGATTTTTAATTGATTACAACGTTCTCAGGAAAGTGAGGACTGAAAAGTCAATTCAGTTTTAAATTTCCCTCTTTAAAGTTCCCAGTTACAACTCTCATCGCAGGGATACATGTACTTACAAAAAATCAATCAGATTGATATAAGCTGTGTGCAGCTTGTTTCCAGATCTTACTTTTTGTTATCCTTGTATATTTTGATATATTTGTAAATTGCATGAATAAATATGTTTAAACTTCAAAAAGCAACATTTGAAAATTTTATAATTTTTTTACCATTATGTTGGTACACAAAATTTTGTTTTAATGGAAGACTGCTTTTCATATAACAAATGTCACATTTTAAGTGTTCAGATACATTAACTTTTATTTTGGTGGATAATTACTCATCAATTGAGGTGCTCCTTTATTGGAAGAAGATTCGCAATACAGTTACAGTTACAGAAAGAATGAAAACTGCCGTTTCTCTCCCCAATCTCATGTATCCCCATTGTTTACCGCGAAAGTTGACATTTCAAAGCATTGATGTTTGAATCATATGATCTACAGCAAACATACTAACTAACTTTAATTAATAAATTTTCAATAAGGCAAATTTCAATTCCCCACTAATAGGTTAGCACCAAAAATACTAAAATCCTAGAGAACTGTCTGCCGGTCATTAAGGTCTTGCACAAAAGCCCAATTTGCCGGACCTGCTCAATTTCTGCCCCCTCGGGCCGACAGGTCCGACGATTAGTTGCATCTCTGTGTCAATTTAGTAACTTCTATTTTTAGAAGTTTCTATTTTAAAAAATGCTGATTAAGGAAAATCTATTTTAAGCCATGATTATGTATGTCATTTTTATACGACCGCAAACAAATTTTGTGGTCGTATATTGGTATGACGTTGGCGGCGTCGTCGTCGTCGTCGTCGTCGTCGTCGTCCGGCGTCGTCGTCCGAATACATATTGGCTTTCGCACTCTAACTTTAGTTTAAGTGAATGGATCTTTTTGAAATTTGACCATAAGGTTAAATACCACAAAAGGAAGGTTGGGATTGATTTTGGGGGTTATGGTACCAACAGTTAAGGAATTAGGGGCCAAAAAGGGGCCAAAAATGAGCATTTTCTAGTTTCCAGACAATAACTGTGGAACGGTGTATGGATCTCTCTGAAATTATACTACAAGTTTCCATACCACAAAGGGATGGTTAGGATTTGCTTTGGGGGGTTATGGCTCAAACCATTTAGGAATTAGGGGCAAAAAAGGGGGAAAAACAAGGTTGTCCTGGTTAATGGACAAATACTTTAGTACAAAACATAATTTAAAGCAGTGTAAGGGAGATAAATCAAATACATCATTGAAATTATCTCCCTTACACTGCTTTTAAATTATGTATGGTTAATGAACAATAAAGATAATCTAAAACAGTGTAAGGGAGGTAATCCAAATACAACATTTTGGTTACTTCCCTTACACTGCTTTTAAATTATGTTTAAAGAAATGCATATTTATAAAGGAAGACCAGTAAAAATATCTGCAAATGTTTTCATCTTTTTTTTTTACAAAAAAATTCATATGAAAGATTTGACACTATATTTTTATTAATTCTATTATAAAATAGATTAAGTTAGCACTATGGTAAATTTAAATGGGTAATTATGATTGCCAACTCCATTGGAAATTTGAATTGAGATTATGAACATATCTTGAGGGAAAGAAATTTTTTTGGGGAAAAGGGGGGGGGGGGGGGGGATAAAAAGAAATTGTGGGGGGCCAATTTTTTCTCATTTCAGATTTCAGAAATTAAAAAGAATTATTCTTCAAATATTATTTTTTTTTCATATTTCAAATATTGAAAAATTTCAAGAAGTAATCTTTAATTGCACAGTATGGCGCATTAGATTTGTAAAATCTTTGATCACATTTATTTATTTGTTATGCCGAATCTAACAGTGTATTTAGATTTTTAATTTTGGGTCCAGTTTTCAAATTGGTCTACATTAATGTCCAAAGGGTCCAAAATTAAACTTTGTTTGATTTTAGCAAAAATTGAATATATGAGGTTCTTTGATATGCTGAATCTAAACATGTATTTAGATTTTTGATTTTTGGCCCAGTTTTCAAGTTGGTCCCAATTGGGGTCCAAAATTAAACTTTGTTTGATTTCAACAAAAATTGAATATATGGGGTTCTTTGATATGCTGAATCTAACCATGTATTTAGATTTTTTATTTGTGGACCCAGTTATCTAATTGGTTCATATTGAGGTCAAAAGGGTCCAAAATTAAACTTTGTTTGATTTCATCTAAAATTGAATTATTGGGGTTCTTTGATATTCTAAATCTAACCGTGTATTTAGGTTTTTAATTTTGGGTCCTGTTTTTTAAATTGGTCTACATTGAGGTCCAAAGGGTCCAAAATTAAACTTAGTTTGATTTTAACAAAAATTGAATTCTTGGGGTTCTTTGATTTGCTGAATCTAAAGATGTGTTTAGATTTTTGATTATGGGCCCAGTTTTCAAGTTGGTCCAAGATAGGGTCCAGTATTTAAACTTTGTTTGATTTCAACAAAAATTGAATATATGGGGTACTTTGATATGCTGAATCTAAACATGTATTTAGATTTTTGATTATGGGCCCAGTTTTCAAGTTGGTCCAAATTGGGGTCCAAAATTAAACTTTGTTTGATTTCAACAAAAATTGAATATATGAGGTTCTTTGATATGCTGAATCTAACCATGTATTTAGATTTTTTATTTGTAGGCCCCGCTATCAAATTGGTTCATATTGAGGTCAAAAGGGTCCAAAATTAAACTTTGTTTGATTTCATCAAAAATTGAATTATTGGGGTTCTTTGATATTCCAAATCTAACCGTGTATTTAGATTTTTAATTTTAAGTCCCGTTTTTTAAATTGGTCTACATTAAGGTCCAAAAGGGTCCAAAATTAAACTTAGTTTGATTTTAGCAAAAATTGAATTCTTGGGGTTCTTTGATATGCTGAATCTAAACATGTGTTTAGATTTTTGATTATGGGCCCAGTTTTCAAGTTTGTCCAAGTTGGGGTCCAAAATTAAACTTTGTTTGATTTTAACAAAAATTGAATATATGGGGTTCTTTGATATGCTGAATCTAACCATGTATTTTGATTTTGGACATTGGACGATAATAGGTAAATTAAAAAAATTCAAGTTCTTAGACCACATTCTTTCTGTGTCAGAAACCTATGCTGTGTCAAATATTTAATAACAATCCAAATTCAGAGCTGTATCAAGCTTGAATGTTGTGTCCATACTTGCCCCAACTGTTCAGGGTTCGACCTCTGCGGTCGTATCAAGCTGCGCCCCAGCGAAGCATTTTATCTATTTTAAAACTTTTATGATGTATTTAAATGGGTAATTATGGTTGCAAACTCCATTGGAAATTTGAATTGAGATTATGACCATATCTTGAGGAAAGAATTTTTTCTCATTTCAGATTTCAGGAATATAAGAGAAAATTTCTTCAAATATTTTTTTTTGGTAAATAAAATGGGGGGGGGGGGGGGTATTTTTTTTTTTTTGGTGTGGGGTGGGGGGTGTCTGTGGGGTGTCAATTTGCAACAGCATAATGTATTGTACAAAGCGAAAAAAAGGGGGGTAAAAAAAAGTTGTTTTTTTTTGGGGGGGGGGTCGATTCGCAACAGCATAGTGTATTGCACAAAAGCAAAAAAAGGGGGGCGGTAAAAAAAAAAAAAAAAAATTCGGGGGGTCAATTCGCAACAGCAAAAAAAAGGGGTTGGGGGGAGGGGGGGGGGTCAATTTGCAACAGCATAGTGTATTGCACAAAAGCAAAAAAATGAATTTAAATTCTAATCCTATAACCAATTCTTAGTTGTTTGACTACAGTTATTCTGTGTCAGAAACTTATGATACATGTGTCAAATATTTAATTACAATCCAAATTCAGACTTGTATCAAGTGCAAATATTGTGTCCTGGATTTGTACCAAACTTGGACAGAAGCTTGTTTATGATCATAAGATAGTATCCAGAAGTAAATTTTGTAAAAATGAAATTCCTGTTTTTCCGTATTTTACTTGTAAATGGACTTAGTTTTTCTGCCGGGAAACATTACATTCACTCTGTGGTTAAAGTTTTTAAAATTTTAATAACTTTCTTAAACTATCCTGGATTTGTACCAAACTTGGACAGAAGCTTGTTTATGATCAAAAGCTAATATCTAGAAGGAAATTTTGTTAAAATTTTGTACCTGATTATCCGTATTTTACTTATAAATGGACTTAATTTTTCTTCCAGTTAACATTAAATACAGTCTGCAGTTAGTTTTTAAAACATTTATTAGATTCATAAACTATCCTGGATTTATACCAAACTTTGACAGAAGCTTCTTACAATCAAAAGATTGTATCTAAAGGAATATTTTTATTGATTTTTTTCATCATTTTTGTTGAGCCTGCGATTAACAGCAAAAGTAGGCAAGACACTGGGTTCCGCGGAACCCTTACAAATTTTTATGGATTTATAAAAATGGTAAATTTTTGCATTGCCTGTATATGGTGAAAATCTGAGTGTAAAGTTAAGTAATAAACAAAAAAGTGAGAAGACAATTCTTCATGTGCACTCATGTTTTTACCTGGGTCACTGAATGTGGAACGCAGATCCAGACCCGTATTTGTCTTGTTATAAATGCAACTATTATTTCTCAAGGTAACTAACTGTGTACAATGGTGCATACATATACCGTTTAAATGTATGTGTTCATGCTGACTTGCAATTATGAGTTATTTTGAGATAAATTCACCTATATTGGGATAGATGGTATTCAAAGAGTAGATTTTCAAATTGATTGGTTGCCTGTATGATCCTGTAGTCTTTATTTATAAACAAATTTTAATTCATTTTTTCAGGTTTCTGCAAGGTTGAAACATGCCAGAACATTCAACATGTTGGATGTGGGCAGTATAAGGAAGAAGAAAAATTAATGGATGTAAATAAAAAGGTCCCTGATAAAAAAAACCCAAGCAAAATGAACAAAAAGAAACCAAGCAAACTGAACAAGACAAAATGTGGTAGGTTTTTGGATTTTTCATATTTTCATCATTACTAAAATGCTCCGCTGGGCGCAGCTTGATACGACTGCAGAGATCGAGCCCTGAACAGTTGGGCAAGTATGGACACAACATTCAAGCTTGATACAGCACTGAATTTGGATTGTGATTAAATATTTGACACAGCATAGGTTTCTGACACAGAATGAATGTGGTCTAAGAACTTAAAATTTTTTAATTTACCTATTCAAACCATATCATTATTATTTGCTTTCATATATAAATCAGAAATAACCAATTTAAAATGGAAAATTTTAAAGAAAAAAAAAGGAAAAAAAGGAAAAAAAATCCCTCCCCCAAATTTTTTGAACCCCCTTATGATTCTTCACCCCCAAAATCAATCCCAGCCTTCCCTTTGTGGTATGGTAGAACCTTACCTTGCAGTACAATTTCAGAGAAATCCATACATTTGAACACAAATTATTGTCTGGAAACTAGAAAAATGCTTGTTTTTAGGCCCCTTTTTGGCCAAAAATTCCTAAACGTTTAAGGCAATTACCCCCAAACTCGAACCCAGCTTTCCCTTTGTGATATGGAACCTTGTAGCACAATTTCATAAAGATCCATACACTTGCACACAAGTTATTGTCCTGAAACTAGAAAAATGCTTGTTTTTGCCCCTTTTTGGCCCCTAATTCCTAAAATTTTGAGGCAATTACCCCCAAAATCAATCCCAGCCTTCCCTTTGTGGTATAGTACCTTGCAGTACAATTTCAGAGAGATCCATACACTTGAACACAAGTTTTTGTCTGGAAACTAGAAAAATGATCATTTTTGGCCCCTTATTCCTAAACGTTTTAGGCAATTACCCCCAAACTCAATTCCAGCTTTCCCTTTGTGATATGGAACCTTGTAGTACAATTTCAGAAAGATCCATACACTTACACACAAGTTATTGTCATGAAACTAGAAAAATGCTTGTTTTTTGCCCTTTTTTTGGCCCCTAATTCCTAAAATTTTGAGGCAATTACCCCCAAAATCAATCCTAGCATTCCCTTTGTGATATGGAACCTTGTGGTACAATGTCAGAGAGATCCATACACTAACACACAAGTTATGTCTGGAAGTTACAAAAATGCTTATTTTTGGCCCCCAATTCCTTAACTGTTTTGGTACCATAACCCCCAAAATCAATCCCAACCTTCCTTTTGTGGTATTGAACCTTATGGTAAAATTTCATAGAGATCCATTCACTTAAACTAAAGTTAGAGTGCGAAAACCAATGTGTTTTCGGACGATGACGCCAACGTCATACCAATATACGACCGCAAAATTTTTTTGCGGTCGTATAAAAATGTGTTTAATTAAAGATAAATTATTAAATATTGTTCTGCTTTGACCTTATTTTACTATAATCATAAATTACAAAATTATTCCTATCTATGAGTTTCAAACACATCATAAGAGTTTATTGTTGAGCCTGCAACATTTATGTTACAAAATAGAGACATAGCAATCCTAGATTCTATCATCTGCATCATCAGCATTTAGGTTCTGTCTGTGGTTAAGGTTTTTTGATACCACCACAAACTTTTTTTCCGTCGTATAATGCTATGATGTCATTGTGGGCGTCTGAAGACACATTTGGTTTCCAGACAATAACTTTAGTTTAAGTTAACCAGAAGGTTCAATACCACAAATTGTTTATATCTATTGACGTGAGCTCCCTTTCGTTTTTTATAAAATTTAGATTTTACGTTTCTGAGTTATCATATGGGGTTTTATTCATTAAAAAAGGGGGGATTTTCCAGTTTTTAGACAATAAGTCAACTTGCAAGAAATTGTGGTGAATTGTTTATATCTATTGACATGAGCTCCCTTTTGATTTTTATAAATTTTAGATTTTACGTTTCCAAGTTACAGGGTTTTATTCATAAAAAAAGGGGTGATTTTCCAGTTTTCAGACAAAAACTCAAAAATGCTTTCAGCAATTCTTATGAAAATTTGGTGAATTGTTTGTATGTATTGATGTAAGCTCCCTTTAGAATTTTATAAATTTTACAATTTACATTTCTGAGTTATGGGGTTTTATTCATTAAAAAAAGGGGTTATTTTCCAGTTTTCGGACAATAACTCAAAAATGCTGTCACCAATTCTCATGAAACTTTGGTGAATTGTTTATATCTATTGATTTAAGCTACCTTTTTATTTTCATAAATTTCTAATACATGTTTTTTGTAATATGACATTGAGAATTAATTGAACTTTATTTGTTTATAGTCTGACAACAGATTTAATAAGTATTGCACAACAGCAAGAAATCTTTAATTGAATATAAATTCAATTCATATAACCAATTTCAAGTTCTTTGACTACATTTATTCAGAAACCTATAATATGTCAAATATTTAATTACAATCCAAATTAAGACCTGAATCAAGCTTGAATATTGTGTCCATTTTTGCCCCAACTGTTCAGGGTTGGACCTCTGCGGGCGTATCTAGCTGCGCTCAGCAAAGCAGTTTATTGTAGTTTCCAGACAATATCTTGTGTGTAAGTGTATGGATCTCTCTAACATTGTACCACAATGTTCCATATCACAAAGGGAAGGGAAGGCTTTGATTGAGTTAGGGGGTAATTGCCTCAAACATGCAGGAACTAAGGGCAAAAATGGGGTAAAAAACAAGCATTTTCTTGTTTCCAGACAATCACTTGTGTGTAAGTGTATGGATCTCTCTAAAATCTCTATAGAAGGCAACAATTGAGTTTGGGGGTAATTGCTCCAAGAGGTGGGGGATTTTTTTTTATAAGGGGTTCAAATTTTTTTCTTCAAAATTTTTTTAAATTTCAAATTTTTTGAAAAGTTTCAAGAAGAAATCTTCATTTGCACAGTATTGCACAATAGATTATTGAGATCTTTGACCACATTTATTTTGTGTCCAAAACCTATATTATGTCAAAAATTTTATCACAATCCAAATTAAGACAGTATCAAGCTTGAATGTTGTGTCCAAATTTGCCCTAACTGTTCAAGGTTCAACCTCTGCGGTAGTATAAGGCTTTAGTTTGCCTCAACCAAATGTTATGAAGCTAACACAATGCTTATTACCACAAAACACCGATCAAGTTTGAATTTGGGTACCTTCACTTTTACCATTCGAGAGTTATGCCCCTTTACAACTGGAAAAATTGCTGAATTTTTTGTTTCCGTTCTCTTACTTTAGTTTGCCACAACCAAACGTTAACTTATGAAACATATACACAATGCTTATTACTACAAAACACAGATCCAGTTTGAATTTTGGTAGCCTCATTTTTGCTGTTCTAGAGTTATGCCCCTTTACAAATGTAAAAATTGCTGAATTTTTCATTTCTAACCGGATTTTCTAAGGAAATATCGGTTATTAAAATAGTGATATGGGGCGGGCGGCTGGGCGGTTCTACAGGTGGCTGTCAAACAGTGTCAGCACAATAACATGAAAACGCTTTGACAATTTTTTGTTCAAATTTAAATATGTTGTTTCCTGGGACTTAATGAAGGTCTCTATAAATTTTCAAGATTTTAGTATATCTCCTTTGTGAGTTATTGCCATTTTTAATATCCAAAAGTAGAATTTTTAAATATCATGTTATGATTTGTCTTATCTCAGAATAAAACTTGTAGTGACAGATTTATTTGAAAATTAACTATTTCCTAAGTGGTAATGATTATAAGCTATATCATTAGACATTTTGAAGATTATTACATTATTAATTATGTTAGAGTACTATGTTCAACAACCATAGTTCTGTTCAATTAGATATTATAAATATTTTAGCATATGATAATGATTTATTTTCATTATTAATTAGATCTTGGAAATATTTTAGCATATGATAATCATTGGAGTGACAGATTTATTTGAAAATTTTCTGTTTTCTGATAAGATCTGTAGGACTGTATATATAAAGTTTGAAACTTACTAGTATTACTGTATAAATGAAGTTTGGAATTTACTGTTCATTATTAGACATTTTGTAGATAATTAAGTGTCCGTTAATCATATATATTCTTACCCCTACCCCCTTCAATTTGATAATGTGCTTTTATCTTGTAACAGTCAGGGGACTTATTGAAATAAGTGATTTTTAAATCACTTATTTAAGTAGAAAATTCGAAGTTTTATCACAAATTGTGATTTTGTATAGTTTTACCAAAATTTTAAACACATAGGTTTAGATAATATCTTTTCATTAGTAAAATTGAAAAAATGAACTTTTTGCTTCTTTTAAGCAGCAAGGTTTATGCCTTTGATGCAATCATTTAGCTGCAAATTCTATTTTTTCAACTAAAATGCTATAAAAATGGCTTTACAAAATAAACTGATACTTGCTTAACAGATTTTTCCCAGCAGTGGGAGTAATTTTCCTGTAAAATTCAAGGTTTCATCTTATAGATTATGTAATAAAATTCTACTGTTCGCGATCAAAATTTCACTGTTCGGGGGTGTTGAAATTAGTGTGGGTTATTAAAATAATAATACTTAAAGAATTGATTTTTTGGAATGAAATTGAGGTATGATACTTAAACAAGTGATTTTTATACGACCGCAAAAAAATTTTTGTGGTCGTATATTGGTATGATGTTGGCGTCGTCGTCTTCGTCGTCGTCGTCCGAAGACACATTAGTTTTCGCACTCTAACTTAAGCTTAAGTGAATGGATCTCAATGAAATTTTACTATAAGGTTCAATACCACAAAAGAAAGGTGGGGATTGATTTTGGGGGTTATGGTACCCACAGTTAAGGAATTAGGGGCCAAAAATAAGCATTTTTGTAACTTCCAGACATAACTTGTGTGTAAGTGTATGGATCTCTCTGACATTGTACCACATGGTTCCATATCACAAAGGGAATGCTGGGATTGATTTTGGGGGTAGTTGCCTCCAAATTTTAGGAATAAGGGGCCAAAAAGGGGCAAACAACAAGCATTTTTCTAGTTTCATGACAATAACTTGTGTGTAAGTGTATGGATCTCTCTGA